AGAATAAAAACCTATCCTAAACAGAATAAAAAGAAGTTCATACTGATATGCATTATAATTACAGTGAGAACACCAGAGACCCAGCGGCATGTGGAGCTGTAGTCAGCAGCTGCAGTTGTTCTGGCCGCTGACAGCCAGCACTGACTACAGCCTGTGAGTTAGCTGTTTTGCACACTGCAGTGTGGCTGAACCTCGGAGTCCAACCCAGGTCAGCATCACACGACGCAGAAACAACTGCCTCGTCCAGCCCATTCAAACCCCCAAAATAGAAATAATCAGTGGATGGTGTTTCAGATCCCTAAGTTCTGGGGTAATTTGCTAGGCAGCGGTGGGTGATAGAACATTACTCAAGTGAAAGAATCAAAAACATCTGTAAACTTGGCATTGGAAATAACAAAGAACTTTCTTGTTTTTTAAAAGTAATTAGGCACATTTTAATCCATAAATAACAGTATATCATTATAATGTAATGAATAATAAACATGAGAATGATAATATATTTACAAGTATAATTTCTAAAAATTTAAAGTCTAACTCTCTGAAGACTTAGATACACTAAAGCTATTAAAGAAATGCCCATGCAAAAATTAAATGCAGGGGCTGGGGATTTAGCTCAGCGGCAAAGCACCTGCCTGGCAAGTGCAAGGTCGTGAGTTCAGTTCCCGGTACCGGAGAAAAACAAACAAAAAAAAAAAACAAAAAACAAAAATTAAATGCATAAGTACTAAAATGTCTTACAAAGAAGCATAAATACACACCCTGAAAACTTTCACTTTATACTCAGCTACATTTTTTCATTCCTTGTTGTACAACAGGAAATTCAGTACATGTACTCTTGCTTTCAGATGAAACGCTACATCTTAGGTTGAGCCTTTAGAATAGAATATTAGCTGTTTGTAAGGATGTCCTGCCTTCCAGTGGTATCTGCTGTAATACTTCGAGTGCACCTTTCCACACTGCAAGGAGAAGATGCATCCCTTCCACATGCACATTTTGAAAGTATATCACACTGTATGGCAGCATCTAATTTTTCTTCCATTATAGGTTCTATCTCTTTGCACCTGTGTCACGTTTTACAACCTGCAGAATGCAGTTACTGATTTTTTCAGTGCGTGCACTAAATTGCACTGGAATTGTGGAAACTGATCTGCATTATTTTTTATTGAATGCTGATAAAATTTCTCACTTTGTTTGTGAAACTTGGCATTGTTGTTAACAATCCTATTATCTGAAAGTTCTACTGTCCTTTCTAGTTAAAGATTATTACTTGTTTCTGTGGTTTGGGTGGATATCTTATTTGAGTCTTCAGTTTGTTGCAGTCTTTGGTCTTCATCTTCAGATGGCATGACAGATTTTCTTAGACATTGTTCTGCCTTTTAAAGAACATGTTCCTTCTTCCATCATAATTTCACCAAGTCCAAAGTGCCCTGACTGGTTAGGATGCAATTCTTCCAAAGGGCTGTTACACACAGAGTTCACTGGACGTTCCTGGTTATTTTTCTGTGGCATCTTCTCTTGGTAATCATTTTCATTTTTTCTTGTTTAATTGTTCAAATAATGTTCCAAATTTTGCAGCTTCATATGGTGGCTTGAGAACATCTTGACATTCACTTAATTTGGAAGCCAAGGAATCAACAGTTATTACTGAGCTTTATTTAAGAGTATACTTTCAGTCCCAAAGAAATTTTAGTCCTGAACTGGGCCACATCCTTCCTTGTGTCCTAGTTTTTGACAGTGTATACTATTTTTTTCTGCATCATCAAGGCAGAGTTTAGAAGGAATATGATGAGGTGACATTGGAAGTTCTAACTCATACTGTCTTTTTTTTTTTTGGTTTTTCTCCGGTACCGGGAACCGAACTCACGACCTTGCGCTTGCCAGGCAGGCGCTTTGCTGCTGAGCTAAATCCCCAACTCCTAACTCATACTGTCTTAAAGTTTTTATGTCTTTATTTTTTATGTCTTTATTCATATTCACTTGGATTGGTTTCTTTACAGTTTCTTTTGCTTTCTTTTTCCTGCTTGATCAGAACTCCGGTCTGTGAGCCCCTGACCCAGTTCATCTCTCCAAAGCTTCCCACAGAGAAGCCACTAATATCCCAATCGATGGAGCTCACACCTCCCAGGTCTGGGCCACCCTGCTGCCTCAGCAGGTCTCTCTGATCCTCCGCCTGAGGTGCAGCCTCCCAGCAGGCCTTGTGTGCTGCTCTAATAAAGGACTTTAGTAAAGAGGCTGGTTCTAAGATAAATATAAAGAAAATCTGTTGTCTTCCTATATTGTAATATAAAAAACCTGTTATCTTTCTATATTATAATATAAAAAATCTGTTACCTTCCTATTCTTAGGATTTGTATTGTGTTTGACAAGCTAATTTTAAATTTATGTGGAAGAATAGAGGCCAAGAATAACCAAGATCACTGAGGAAGTAGTGATATTATTCTGTTGTCTCACAGATAGATAAATGGACAGTAGGAACAAAGTAGAGAAGCTAAAAACAGACCAGTTATGTATGAAACTTGGTACTACAGAAGCAGCTTGGCAGGTTAGTGGGGAGGAAAGATGGCCTGCTGAGTATAGCACTGCTGCTGTGGCAACAGTTGTACTTGCTGAGGCAGAGTCTGTGGCAAAGTCTGCAGTTAGACATTACACTGAAATATATTCGTTACGCCCTATTGCTAAGACACAATCGCTGGTGCCTGCAGCCTAAAGCAAGAGAGGTTTATGTTGCCTCATGGTTTCAGTGCATAGTTAGAAATATCAGGGCCGAAGGACAAGGTGGAGGAAAGTGCTCACTTCACAGCAATGAGGGGGGACAGAGAAAGACTGGCAAAGAGCCAGGGCAGAATGGTCTGAGGGCCTGTGTGGCCCCCAGGGTCACTGCCATGCCCCCAGACACACCCGGAAGTGTGCTGTACTAACCCGACGTGCTTCACTCAGTCCGTGCAAGTTTGCAGAAAACATTTAGAAGAAAATACAGGATAATACTTTCTTTTCTTGGAGTGCAAATGAATTTTTAAAACTGAAACTGCCAGATGGAAATTTTTAAAACGCCAGCTATATTGAAATTTAGAACATGTTCATAAAAAGACATTGCAAAAAAGTGAAAATTGAGCCCGCTTACTGAGAGAAAGACATTTCCAGCGTGTTGAACTGACAAAGCAGAATCATGGTATGGTCACCCGGAATCTCACAGCAGTACGTGATTGAACCTTGGCTCTAATGCTGTGGGTTTGAGTGGAAAAAAACTGAAATGACTTACATTAGAGTGGGAGTAAAAAAAATAAAGCAACACTAAGCAGGTTGGTTTTGAAGATAAAATTGGGATAAAAACTTCAGAAAAATGATAAAAAAATTTAGTATAGTTTAGCCTAATAGTTACCTCGAAGGATGTGGGGTGAGAGGTACTCAGACACAAGCTGTTTACAGTGTTCTAGCTGCTGGGTTATGTGGAGCTTATAGTGTTTATTATGTTATTTTTAATAATTAATATGTGTGTTATTTTTTGCATGTTATCTTTTATGTACTTTCATAAGATAAAATAATAACTTTAAGAAAATTTATACAATTTGACAGTGTACTAAAATTATGAGATAGATTTCTAATTTCTGCTCTTTTGTGACACCTTTTAAATAGTATCAGCACTGTGATCTGTAGAATGAAGTGATTTATTCATTTTTAGAGAATAAACCCCCAATATTCTTAAGTCATTTTCACATATTTTTCACTTTTCTGATGTTTCAGGATTTTTTCTTTTTTTTTTGAGATAGGGTCTCGCTATGCAGTTCAGACTGGCCTTGAACTCACTGTGTAGCCCAGGCTGGCCTCGAACTCACATCGATCCTCCTGCCTCAGCCTCGTAAGTGCTGGTATTACAGGCCTGCACCTCCACACCTGGCAATGTTTCAGGATTTTTCAGTTAAAAACTCTGTTGAGAATCTGAACAGTGAAAGTTGCATACATTTAAGCAGAGCCACTCAGATACTGATCCTTCTTGGTCATCGGGCCTCTTTGCTTGCTTTCCAGCTCCAGTGCGCTCTTCCAGCACATCACTGCGCTGTTCGAGTGCAGTGTGGCGGCTGTCATCACCTTGCTCGTGAGTGACCCTGTGGGCGTTCTGCACATCCGGTCTTGCCGTGTGCTGATGCTCTCAGACTGGTACACGATGCTCTACAACCCAAGTCCGGATTACGTCACCACAGTGCACTGCACCCATGAGGCAGTCTACCCACTGTAAGTATGGGTTTAGCTAGCAGTGTGTTTAAAAGCTGAGGGTTATTATATAACATATATCCTATGCATTTCCGCAGATTGAGCATTGTAAATAGCTTCTGGGCACTGGCAAAAGTACCCAGAAAGTGTTTTTTTTAAGGCACACATAGTAGGAAGAAATACGAAAATATCTTAGTAGATCAGGAAAGGTTTGTGTTGGTATTGAAACATATAAACACTTCTAAATAAGCCTTACATCTTTCATTAACTCCTTGAGTGTATTATAACTTGTTTTTTTCCCTCATTCCTCTTCTCTCCCTTCAACCTCTGCAGTTACAAAGCTTTGTTTCCATGTTTTTCTTTTCTTTTCTTCTTTTGTAACTTTTCCCTTCTTTCCTTTCCCCCTCCCTCTTAGAGTGTATTATAAAGGAAATCCTTGATATGCAGCAGAGATGTAATGTTGACACAGAATTTGGAGCTTATGTGTATTAGGTTAATAATATCCCTTAGTTACTGCAGGCTGATCAGGTCCAAAATCTCACGAATGAGTATACAGCGAAGGCTAAATAAAATGAGGCAAATGGAATGATTTCAGGGCTTCAGGAGGATCAAAGTCCTCTGACAGAATTTGAGATTTTCTCAGGGCTAAGACCAAGACCATCTCTGGGTAGCCTGTATTTATTTAGTTATCAGAAGAAGGGGCAGGGAGTACTCAAAAAGGGTGGAACCCCTCAAGGACTTCTCCAAGTAAGGTATTAAAGTAATCTACCCAGGAGTGAGATGCCTGAGGCTACAGACTTTATCTAGTTGAGGTTAGATCCAGGTGTCCATGGCTGTGATCTTGTCTTATCCTTTGAGGTTTTCCAGGCTTCATCTGCCATTACAGGCCTTAGTAGAGATTAGTGACTCACAGAGGATCACTATGAGTCTGCAGCCCGTTTTCAGACAAGGAGCCTAGGCCTTGGACAGATTCACAAGTAAACATGAAAAGTCAATTGGTTAATTTAAGTCCTGCTCAGAGCTACTTCATAGTGGTCTTCATCATATGCAAAAGAATATTAGCTTTGGAGAGTAAAGCAGCGTGGGTGTAAATTCTGAGTGTGCTAGCTCTTACATTAATATGAGCATATTAACAGCCTCTTGCAGCCTCAGTTTTCTCATTGGAAAAATGGGGATGATAATACCTTATGAAGTGCCATGAGAATTAAATGAATGCACATAGTAGACACCATGGTAGTACCTTATGTACAGGAGCACTTAAGGTAGCTGACATTATTATAGTGCTTGGGTTAAGGTTTTATCATTTTTGTGTTTTTCCAAATCAATTAAATTTTCTTAGAATCTTTTGTTTTAAAAATACCAAATTCTTAAGAATCTATATAATATTGTACCACAGTCCCTGTTTCTAGAATTTTTATAAGTTGTTGATACTCATTTTGATATTTTTTCCTTGGTTGAGGTAGAACAGAAAGTGTATTAGTTTGTCTCACAATTGTAGTAAGTTTCTGTTACATGCTGTATGTAATGAAGTTAGTCTTTTTTCATCAAATTCTTAAAGTGTCCAAAATACATATATACATATATGTAAAAAGGTGATTTTCAAAAAGCAAGATCCAGCTATAGAAATATAAAAATCCCTTCCAAGCCAACTTTTAAATTCTTCAATTATTTATTTTATGAGCATAAATAAAACTATACTTTATAAGTAAAAGGCTAATGAAAAAATATGTGCTATCCTCTGGTGATTCATTGACTTAGAGATAAAAACTTCAGGTTTGAGTCATCTCTTGTCATGGCCTGTCCTGAGGACTTACAGAATTTAACCTGTCCTATTTAGAAAGCTTAAGAATGGAATTGATCATCATATTTTTTTTTTTGGTACTGGGAATCGAACTCATGACCTCAGGCTTACCAGGCAAGCACTTATGCCACTGAGCTATATCCCCAGCCCTTGATCATCATATTTAAATAAGGTATACATAATTATTTTCTCCCTCACCGGTAGTCATGTTTATAGTGTTTATTGTGAAAATATCAAATCAGAAGAGAGATGGCAACTAGATGTTCCCGCTGTTACCGAGTCTGTACTGAACTGGATGGATGCTCTGCACCAAGGGAGTTGGAAGGCAACTTTTATTTACATCAGCGGACTAGTGGGAAGTAGGTCCAAATCACCGGTGCTGGCTTAGAGTAAAATAGCAACTTAGATACATTTTGTAAGCAGGAAGTATAGAGCCGGTAATGGGTTAGTCTATAATTGGTTACATATATTTGGTCACACGTTGTCAGGCAGATGTTTCTGGGGCAGGTTTAATTGGAGGGGGCCATTCAACGTGAGGTAGGAAAGTCTGGGGGAAGTCAGGGCAAACAGCGAAGATTTAGCGTGGCCTGGACGGGGCTAGTCTGCCTGGGTAGACGGTCCTTGAAACAGGACGTGTGTGCAGCATTGTGTAGCTGGTCAAATTATCTCTGAGTTGCAGCTGGGTAGTTTAGTCAAGGCCTGCTGAGTGTGACGGCCCAATTATGAAGCTGTAGTTTTAAAATCTTCCACTACACCAGGCCCCCTGCACCCATAGTAGCCACTTGTAATTTTCAATGCTGTTGGCTTTTAAAACTGCAGTGGTGATGATACATAAATCTGTTAGAATTGCATAGTTTCGTTAATTCAGAGTACACACAAATGAATAGCCTTATAAAATCATGGGGTGCAGAATCCAAACAAAACAGCTGTATCTGCTGAGATAGTCAAGGGAATTCAATTATTTAAGAGACCCCAAGCTTGCTGTGTGTTAATCAAGCTAATTATGTACTGTACAGCCCTCTCCATGACACTTGAAGCTCTTTCCTCTGCTTTCTCTGGTCCCGATGTTTTCCTGTTAAATTTAATTTGAAGTTACTTTAGGGCGAGTAATCTATTTTAAATTTTTTATTTTAAAGAATAAAAG